CATGCTATACATCAGAAAGCTGGACAATGACTAGGGATGATAGAAGGAGAATTGATGCCTTTGAGCTGTGGTGATGGAGTATTGAGTAGTATTGGATAGCTAGGAGAACAAACAGGTTTGTCCTGGGTAGGGTGAGACCAGGCTGCTGCTTGGAGGCAAGGATTCTTAAACTCCATCTGACATGCTTTGGACATGTTGCAAGGAGGGTCCAGTCTTTGGAGAGGGACATCATGCTTGGAAAGGTGGGGGGACAGTGCAGGAGAGGAAGACCCTCCATGACATGGATTGACTCAGTGACTGGGGTAATGGGATTGAGTGTGTCGGAGACAATAAGGTTGGCTCAGTATAGAGCAAGGTTCAGAGCTGTTGTACATAGCGTCGCTATGAGTCTCAGGTGACTTAATGGAACGTAACAACAATGTGCCAATGAGTTATCTATAGCTCGTGAACACAACCCTATGGACAGATCAGAGCCTTGCCCTATCCTGTGCCATCGTCATATTCTCCAGCATGCTTGAGCCCATATTTTTCAGATCTTACTTAATATGTTTCAATATGTTGTTGTTGTTGTTATGTGCCGTCGAGTCGCTTGCGACTCATAGCGACCCTATGTACAACAGCCCTAAACTCTGCTCTGTCCTGTGCCAATCGCACTGTCTCTGACACTCCCATCCCAATTATCCCAGTCACTGAATCAATCCACCTCATAGAGGGCCTTCTTCTCCTGTGCCATCCCTCCACCCTCCCAAGCATGATGTCCCTCTCCAAGGACCGGTGTCTCCTCACAACATGTCCAAAGTATGTTAGACGGAGCCTCAGAATCCTTGCCTCCAAGGAGCCACCCGGTTTAACCCTTTCCAGGACAAATCTATTTGTTTTCCTAGCAGTCCATGGTATTCTCAATACTCTTCTCCAGCACCACAGCTCAAAGGCATCAATTCTCCTTCTATCCTCCTGGGTCATTGTCCAACTCTCTGATGCATAACAGGTGATTGCGAAGACCATGGCCTGTATCAGACGCACCTTAGTTTCCAAAGAGATACCATTGCTCTTCAGCACTTTGGAGAGGTCCCTAACAGCAGACTTTCCTATGGCAATGCGCCTTTTAATTTCCTGGCTGCTGGTGCCAAGACTGTTGACTATGGAGCCAAGCAAACTAAAGCTGTGTACAATCTCAATCTCTTCACCATCCATCCTGATGCTGCCAATTGGTCCAGTGGTGAGAATCTTTGTCGTCTTGACATTGAGCCTCAATTCATATTGTACGCTGCAGTCCTTGACGCTCTGCAGTAGGCACTTCAGGTCCTCTTCAGTTTCAGCAACCCTGCTTGCTTGCTGTTTCAATATAGTTTAGAATTTTTCCATACTTCTATTGTTCATCTTTTAAAAATTTCTTTTTATTTTACAATTTTATTGCTTTTTAATATTTTTTTGTTTTCTTAAGCATATACACAACAAAGTATACAATAACTCAACAGTTTCTATGTATTTAATAACATTGATTACATTCTTTGAGTTGTGTAACCATACTGACTCTTGCTTTCCAAATTTTTCCTCTTTCATTACTTTAAACACATTGCTCCCCAGGGTTCCTATGTTATCTTTAGAGTTGTTGTCACTTTGATCCCATAGCAAATACAAAATTCACTGCCATTGAGTCAGAACTGACTCGTTGTTGACCCTTCATTGAGCTCCTTAGGTTTTAAATCACATCAGAGAATATCCATCTTTCTTTCTCAGAGTAACTGGTGTACTCATGGTGGAGAAGTGGTCTTCGGTGACACAAAGATCATAATTCTCAAGGCTGGTTTTGTTTTGTTTTCATTATTTAAGTTAAACTATGACTTGATTTTAAAAAGACTTTGTGGGATGTTTTTGGTTTAAAATGTAAATATTATTTAAGGAAACTAGCTTCAGAGAAAGTCTGGAGTCTGGGATAATTTTATATTATGTTCTACACTTCCTCTTCCTTTTGATCAGGATTCTTTTATCAAATCTTTGATCAAAATATTCAGTAGCGATAATTAGGCACTATCCAGTTTTTCTGGTTCCACGGCAAAGGAAGCTGTTATTTAGAGGCCACACAGTCTATATTTTTCTATCCTTACTTTCTTTCCTCTGTCGTTCCACGTAAATAGAACTCAGTTGTATTTATTGCTGTTCTTAATGAGATACTTTATTAAATTATATTTTCTAGTTTATTCTTAGCAAGAAGCAACACATTTAGACTTTTGTATATTGATCTTATATCCAGAAACTTTAATAGTTCTAGTTGTATGGTTATAAGGGTTATATTAATAGCTTTTCTGATGTTACCTCTTTGTATTTCAGGGATATACATGGCTGAATTCATTTTTTCCAGGACTTTATTTACAATTTTAAGAGGTGTTTTGTACAAATTTGTATCTAACAAACTGCAGAGGTGTGCAGAGTAATCTCATTTATCTATCATGCAGAACAGGCTAACTTGCCTTGAGGGCTAGCCTTATTTTCTTCCATTGGTATACATTCAATTATTTTTCTGCAGTGTCAATTTGTTTATATGCTTATTTCAAGTCAGACACAACTTATCTTTTACTGATTCGTTTTCACCACACTCCCTTCACTGTGTGTCAGATTCTTTTCAAATTGACCTCCCTTGAAAGCTCTAACTATTCATTACCATCCAGATGTTTGTAACTCTCCAAGGTGCTTGCAGAAGTAATTTTGCATCAAACTCTAAAACAGATAAAAGTTATTGTTTACTGATGAAGAGTTTATTTACTAGCCCACTATTGTTAGTTCATGATAGACAGTGAATAGATTGTTAACAATTTCAGCTTGCTTGGGTTCACAATGAACACTCTTGGTACTGGCAGCCGGGAAATCAAAAGATGAACTGCATTGGGTAAATCTGGTGTTAGGGACCTCTCTAAAGTACTGAAGAACATTGATGTCAGTCTAGAGACTAAGGTATACCTGATCCAGGCCATGGTCTTAGCAATTAGTTGCTATAAATCAGAGAGCTAGACAATGAGTGACTAAGGATGACAGAAGAAGAATTGATGCCTTTGAGTTATGGTACTGGAGAAGAGTATTGAATATACCATGGATGGCTAAGAGAACAAACAGATCTATCCTGAAAAGGGTGAAACCAGTCTTCTCGTTGGAAGCAAGGATTTTGAAGCTTTGTCTGATATATTTAGGGCATGTTGCCAGGAGGAACCAGTCCTTGGAGAAGGACATGACACTTGGAAGAGTGCAGGGAGAGCACAGAAGAAGACTCAGAATGGGATGGATTAACTCAGTGACTGGAGAAATGGGATTACATCTGTTAGAGATGATGAGATTGGCTCAAGTTCAGAGTCACAGGCGACGCCATGGCACATTGTACCTAAGGAAGCTAAAAGCTGAGTTTTGTGCTCAGCAGTAGCACATTCCTTTGATTGATGTTTTAAAGGTTTTTAAATATTAAACTATCCTTGTTCATACAGTCATTCAATGTTTGCTATGTTCTTCTATATTCTTTAGACTATTAAAACTAGTCTAATCCTATGAAATTTTATTGCTTATCGACTTTATTGTAAGCTGTGTCAAATAATTTTGCAGATAGATGGAATTTAAATCCAAAATAAAATGATAAATTCTTACTGAATATTGGTTGACTGGAAAGGGAGTATGGGGACTTCAGTGTGAGCAGGGATTTTCCAGTATCATTGGTTTATTAATTTAGACGTTGTAGTGCTTATGTTTATAATTAAGATTCTCACACCCGATTAACAAAGTACTGAGTTCAGAGGTGAAAATTTTCCTTTGCTTTCAATTTCTGCTAGTAAATAACAAGCATTTCACAACCTTAGGAAACCATAAGGTTCTTGTCATGATAATAGCACATATTTTCAATGGATATTATGTTTTCTTTATTAAGTATGAAACCGAACTGTTCATTGAATGGCTTGCAGGCAATTTTTTTGAGCTGAATCTAAATCTGATTTTTTTTTTTTAAATCACTGCAAGAGCACTTGACTTCCTTGGGTTTCTGCCTTGGAGTAACTCTCCTTCAAGGGCATCTTGCAGAGGGGAGCTCGGGTCCTTAATTGGGCCTCTAGGAGCATTTTGTCCCTTTACACAGCCTTTACGTGGTATCAGAAAGAGACAAGTGGAATGCCCACCAAGTCATGCTTTTCTATTACTCATTCCGCCTTATTTTCCCTCCAAGGTGGTGAGTGGGAGGTGCTGTGATGGGCTCGATAAGAATAGGCCAAGAAGCTCGGGCGGAATATACTCATCCCTTTGCGTGTTTCAGTTCCAATGGTAACGCGTTTGGCGGGTTGAACCGGTGAAATGTTTTCCAGACAATGACTTCGGCCGCCTCCCATATTAAATCTCAACTCCTCCACGGGCGCCCGGGACCCTCGACAGAACCGCCCGCCGCCTCACTTAGCCAACCTTTTGACACCTTACAAGGAGGATTATCGGGTCAGCTGGGCGCAGCTGCCCTTAAGGGGGGTCAACCAGGAGGGAATTCTGGGCGCCGGCTTCGCCCACTCCGCACCCCCGCGAGGGCTTCTAGGCCACCAGGGGGCACTCGGATGTCTCCGCAGCTCCTCTTAGATCGCCGCTCCCCGGCTCCTCTACGATTGGTCGGCCGCCCGAGATCAGCGCTCTGACTGGCCTGTGTCTTTGTCAGTCGTGGGCGCTCGGGCGGGCCGAGGTGACGCGCGGCAGCCAGGCTCGGGGCGGTGTCCGGCGTCGGGGGCTGCAGGCGGAGTTTCGCGGGGACAGACGCGGGGCAATCTGACGGCGACGGTCCTGGCAGGCGCCAGTGCGCAGCCGAGCCGCTGCCCGCCAGCCGCAGCTGTTACCGCCGGCCCATCTCCGCGCCTGGCCTCCTGCGCCCCTGCCTTCCACCCTTCCGCGGCCCTCGATGCGGGGCCGGGCAGCTGCGTGATGGGGCTGCGGAGTGGCGTCTTGCGGCTCGTTGCGGCCGCTGCTCGCGCTGAGGTGCGTCGGTGCCGGGCCCCTCGCGCCCCCGCGCGACGCGGCGCCTGCTGACCCGGCAGCTCGCCAGTCGGCCCGCAGCGCGGCGGAGGTAAAGGCGGCTGGGCAGTCGGCCGTTGACTCTGCGGCCACATGAGGGTGGGGGGGCTCCGAGAGCGGGCGGGGCAGCCGGGCGGGGTCGGATGGGGGCGTCCCAGGCCCTTAGGAGCGCCGCGGACACGGAGGGCGCTGCCTGCCGGGGCGCTGGGTGGGGTGCGGTAGGGCGGGGTGGGGAAGGGAAGGCTCTCCCTGCGGGGGTGCAGGGCGCCTCCCTGGCCAGCAACGCGCTCCGGGCTCGGGTCCAGCGGCCTGCTGGGGGCCCCCTGCGCCCGCCCTCCATCCCTGCTGAGGGCCCGGCTCCAGCTCTGCACAGCGGTCAGCGACCTGCTGCTGTCTGTCCGTCCGCTGGCTTTCTGGTGGGGACAGCGCGGCTCCGTATTGAAACCGTCCCACCTCCTTCTCCCCCATCCCCTCTCCCTCGTTTTGATTGACACGGGGGCCGAGACCGGGAATGTGATCATGCCCTTTGCCAGATGGAGGCAGAAAAGGCCAGCATCGCCAGTCCGAGTGAGAAGCGGGGGTTGGGGGACGCGAGGGCCTCCGAGACGAGCGCGGTGGGAAGGGGAGGGGGCTCGCTGGAGGCTGGCCAGCCGTGGGGAGGGCTGCTGTGGTCTCGGCGTGCGGCGGAGCGGGCTTACTCGGGCAGCCATATTGGGAGGATGATCTGACAAATCCTTTAGGAGCCAAGTGCGCTGGCTGTAAGGCACCCAGTGACAGTCCTGGCAGCTTTCATGGTGACTGCCCGCACGGAAGCCAAGTGGTGGGGGTGGGGCGGCTGCTGGAGCCAGCTAGTCATTGTTCGTGCAACACAAAACATCCTGGTCCCTACACCAGAGTGGAGCTCCCAAATCACTTTCCCCCCCCACTCCTTGGCACTTCGCTAGATTAGCTTCCAAGGTAAACTGGGCCTTCAAAATTCCACCTTTAGTGGTGTAAAATATCAAATAGTAGCTTTCAGTACCCTTTTGCGTTCTATCCACTTAGAAGGCCTGGTGATGCTTGGTATGTACAAAGGTCCGAGGAACTGTTAAGACCAGTTTACCAGTATGGAGGCCTTGAAAGGTAGAGGATGGCACTGGATGCATAGATTCCCCCCCCCCCCCCATGGAGTGGTCCAGCGTGCATATATTAAGTAAACCAGAATGTAATGACAGTGCAAGAGGCTAGCAGCAATATTTCTGAGGACGCCGGTTGTAATCTTTGTGGCATCCCGAGGTAGCTGAAATTAGATTGTCAACAGATCCCTTGCTGGCATATCTCTTGTTGCACCAGGCAGCTGTTCTGAACATGCTGCTTTGTGTCATAGCTGTGTGAGCTGGATGAGAACGCAGTGATTGAATTGGAATCGCTGTAAAGGAGAAGTGATACCAGGGTGGGTATTTTATTTAAAGGCTGGCGTTTTGTCAGCTTAGCTTAGTCATAGGAAAAGCTTGTATTCTTCTTACAAGTGAGGTAGTGCTTTCTAATTAAGTTGGTGTGACTGTAGGATTACGAAGCAGGTGGAGTCATTAAAGAATGTTGCCGGCTGGACTAGGAAGGTGGCACTTGGGTTGGTAGTATCAAGCAGATCTTGAAATGATCCGAAATGAAATTTGGCTTGAGTGTGTCTTCTTACATTTTGGGCCTGAATTGGCCCTGGAGAGATGAATACCTGTCACGTTCTTTGTGTCTTTTCCTTTCACTTCTACTCCTTAATGAGCAAATCCTGTAACTTCCTAAATTAAACTACTTAGGCAACTTCAAGTAGGATTTTCCAAGTATAGTTTTAACAATTCATTTTTTCCTCTTTTAATTATCATTACATTTTCTTTGGAAAACTTAGTTTGAATCAAATATGCTTTCAAGAAAAACCAGTGTTTTTTTGGAAAAAATAACCTTAATATAAGAGAACTGTAATATAGTGGTTTGAAAATTCTGTGCCCCATTTAAGACATTTATCTCTTATTTTACTTTTAAAGGTTCTTAATTCGTGAAAAGATCTGAAAAAATGATGATTAATTATAATTTTAACATTGGGTAAAAGCAGACCTGACTGTGAAGTTCTTTTTTTTGGCATTTTCCCTAAATATATTCTAATTCTGCCTGTAAAGCTTAAAAGAAAGTCCCCCCAACCCCCAAGACTAGATAGAAATAGTTTTCTTCTCATTTCTCTTTCATTCTCTTGAGTTGTGCAGGGAATAAAGAAAGGACTGCCAACTGTCTCTTCAAGGCATGAACATTCTCTCCCATTATCCTGCCATGGTCTTGTACAGGGTACAAAGCAGAGAGCAACAATGGGCTCCTGCCCTCTCTTTCTTCAGGAAGGACAAAGCAAAGAACAAGCCCTTTTGCAGGCTGCTAATCTCAGCAAGTTTTCTAGGAGTGAGCATATCCGTTTGGTCTTATAAACTGATACAGTTTCATTTCACAAGGCTCTAAAGTTAAATGTATATCCAGTTGACATCATGTCATTGTTATTTTGTGTATGTGTGCTTTTTTAAAAGCTGACCTTGTTTGAATGGATACTGGTGAACTTCTTGGTCATAAAAGAATGTGAATTAATATACATTCATTTAGGAGTTTTTATGTTCCTCCTTCATAAGAGTGGAAGAGAAACAAATGTGGCTTGTGATGGGGAAAACATGCAAAAGTTGCCTTGGTTGTCTCTCCAAGTTGTGTTTTCTGTTTGGTAGGCCCAGGTGCTTCATTGAGACTTACTTTTACTACAGTCATTACCATCTCTTTGATGTGCTTCTAGAACTTTGCTTCTCTGTCCTCAAGGGACTTACATTTAGTCATTTGTAAATAGATAAGGTGAGATAAGATTAATCTCAGTACCTTTCCCTTTTTTGTCCAGTTTGGTGTATCACTGCCATGCCATTGAGGCTTCCAGATTTTCCTCTATGTAGTGTCTTGGGATCTAACTAGCTTGTTATCTCACTAGAGATTTTATTATTTTATAGTGATGTTTATTATTGTAAATATTATCAGTTAAATGTATCAGTTGTCACTTTAATGATTGGTTTGTAGTTATTTGTATATGTGGTATAAGGCACAGGACAAAATTTGTCTCATAGGTTTTGAAATATTTTTCTCTTTGTTACATTGTTACACCAAACATATAGTTCTGCTCTATCATTCTCCACCATTCTCTGCTTCCTTTGAAGACTTGGATAACTTGCTTAACTCTCTCTTACATCTGTATTTCTGACATCATCTTGCCATCTGCAGATAAGTAACAACAATAACCTCTGTTGAGCACTATATAGGTACCAGCCCCAAAGCGAAGCACTTTACATAAACTGATTTACTCTTTGTGACAACCACGTATAAAAGCAAAACTGTTATTATCCCTGTTTTATAGATAAAGAGGCCAAGACAGAGGCTTGGAGGTGAAGGACCTAGTTTTTAACCCTCAGTAAAGTGTCCTTTGGTTTTGGTTCTTGAAAAATAATCCATGAAGTAATTGGGATGCCTTGGTCTGAGATTTCCAGACCATCTTGGATAATTTGTGTTGGAGAGCAGGAGCTGATCACACTAGAAGACACTCAGCTGGAAGGCAGGGCTTGACTAGTGTCAGGGGGAAGGAGTTAGTGTAGCATGCCATGCTGGCCAATGAAAGGCCAGTCACTCTAAGGCTCTGTGAATTTCTTGCCCACTGTGACACTGTGCAGCTGCATCAGGAACCCTCCTTGCCTATGAAACTCTGCTTAATGATGATCTTATTTCTGTCCTTTTACTATAATGAAGGGAGCCCTGGTGGTCTAGTAGTATGACGTGACGCTGTAATCCTAAAGGCAGAAACCATTTGAATCCACTAGGTAGTCTTTGGGAGAAGGATGGGAAGTTTCCTCCTAGGTGATTTACTACCTCTGAAAACCCACTGGAGGGTCAGCTGTGAGTTAGTTCAAACTCAGTGGCACACATAATAATAACAGTAGTGAAACCAGTAGTTGTAAGCATAGTTTTTCTGTGAATCATTCCAGGGAAGTAATGAACTCAAAGAACAGTGTCATTTTAGCCTGGATCTTGGTTCTAATTCTGAGTGTTTGCAGGCTGGAAGAGAATAGGCAGCTAATGTCATAATGTTAGAGAAATGTTGTTGTTGATTGCCATCGAGTTGAGCACGACTCCTAGCAACCCTTTGAACAAAAGGCCTGAAACCTTTCTATAACTTTCATCATTTATCAACATTCATGCAGTTTCCAGAGGCATGTTGTTTAGGAAGTGGATGCCACTCCCGCTTCCAATATCAATGTCAGAAATGATAAAGAAACAGGAACATGGAACTGTGTTGGATGTCTGTGTTCTGGGAAGCAGCTTTATGGTCATCTTAGAGGCTATGTGATCTTTCTAAGTTTATTGGAGTTGATAATTGCTGAACTTCCTTTGCAGTTAACTCCCCTTTCACATCTCTTAACCTTAAAATTCCCGTGACTTCATCAAGTAAACTGTGGCTGTGTTTTGTTCTACTAGCTCAGTTTTGTGGCTACATATTCTAACATGCAATCACCATCAGATCTCCAATTCTCCTCCAGATCTTAAATTAGTAATTTACAACTCTCATTTCCATATCTCCTTCCCTGTCCCGTGGCAAGTCTTTTGAGCCTTTCCTTTCTTCCAGTCCATCAGACCAGACTTATTTTCATCCCTTTCTTACAGTGTGTGGCCCCTCTGGAGTACATTGCTTTACCTATTTTCTTCCTAGCACTTGCAGTTTTTATTCTTCCTTGTTCTGCAGATCCGCTATTCAGATAGATGACAGCCTTGCATCACCCCTGCACCCATAACCTCTATATGCTGCCTTGGAGAAGCATTACACTCCATTTATCTATGCCACAGTTAATGTGCAGTTTTTAGTTCTCCCCTGAGTCTGTCTTTGGGTCTTTGGCATCTATTAAAATAATTCTACTCTTTGGTTTCTTCCATTCTTTATGGTGGAAACACTAAAATCTCTCTCACTTTTCTCAAACTTCCCTACTGCCTCATACTTGTCATAAAAACTTGCCTGCT